TTTTTTCCAGGCACGATATTAAGACGGCCCTTAAGAAATGGCTCCGGGACTTCCTGTTGATGATGTGATATTAATTTTAAGTAAATATTTGCATTTCCAGTTCCCATATAATTAAGCACAAAGAATGGATCCCAGAGATCTTTTGCCTGTTAACTGTGATTCTCATGCAGATGAGAATTCCTACGTGTTCCTTCCCCCGATGTCACTGACCGTTTTTTATTCGGTTCTGCTGTAGACTAAAAAATGAAGGATCGTAGTTCATAGGAGCTTGGCCAACTTCCACTAGCTGGGAATCGGGGTCCCGGTGCTAATTTGAAGTACAGGACTTCAAGGCACAGAGCCAAGATCTGTGGTCCCTGGACCTGGTGTGTATGCAGAGCAAGTCCAGGGCTTCGTCAGGGAACTGAGGGAAGGAGCGTGCTCACGGACGTCAGCTTTTGACTGGAGTTTTCCCTCACAAAAAGATAAAGAAGGAAAGCATCAGAGAAAGGTTTCTTCGATTGGGAGACCAGCCTGCTGCCAGGGTTAGGGACAAGCCAACTCCAGAGGAAAGCAGGCGGTAGAATGTTTCTCATCTCACTGGAATGTCTTTGCCTGTGTTGCCTTTGTGAACAGACCCATCTGCTGCTCACTGAATCGTTGCTACAGAAAGGCAGGGTGATGTTCCCACTTAGCTTAGCTAAGCAAAGTACCAAGACCCCAAGCACCTCTCACGTTTGGTGGAATTGCTATTTGCGGTTCCATGTATTGGTGTCCGTCCCGGCCTGGAGGGGCTGGAAGGTGCGGGGAACTCACCGTGGGGCTCAGGAGATGGCTCTCAGAGTTTGTGAATTTTGCCCTTCGCGATGGTGCCAGGAACGCATGGTGAGGGGTTTCTGTCGTCTTATTCTCATAGCGCAAGGCAGGTCACATCGCAATGAATGTGGTCCATGGTGAGTCATTGGCCTGCAGTCTTCCACATGCCACAGTCTTAGGAGGTATACCCCAAAACTGCCACCGGCATGACACTCACGGGCAGCTGGCAGCAGTCTCTGCCAAAGGTCATTATTTTATTTACAGGCGACCCCTGTGATTCGCGGAATTGCTATTTACGGTTCCACGTATTTGGGGGGGATCTTCTGTCCCGGCCTGGGGCAATCTTCATTCTGCTCATCTGACCCTCATCTCTCACACACTCAAGTTGTCTTTGTCTTATCTTTCTGCTCTCAGGTATCATCTGGGAGACGGGGAAGAAGGGAAATCCGCCTGATGATGTCCTCATTAGCTGTGGGTGAAATATAGCTCACATGCCGCAATCACTTGTAGCACTTCAGTCCCAAGGCAGAAGCCTCCAAATGTCCTGTTTCCTTATCGGCCGCATCGCTCATGCATGTAGCAAGATGCTGGAGACGAGAGATTGCAGCAATTTCCTTTTACAGTCACAGTTCTACCTTTGCCTCCGTACGTGCGGCTGATCTGACGCTGTTCTAGCAACAAGTCACCTTCTCTGTTGGATCACTAAATGATGTGTAACACCCCTTGTAGCCATGCCTCCAGATATTGGAATGGTTCAACATGCTCCAGTGCCCCACTCCGATTTTGATAGGAAGAACTTTGCCTGTTCGGCAGACTTAGAGGTCACCATGGTCCATCTTTCCAGGAGGTATTTTTAGACCTAACGTCTTGGCTTTCATCAGAGGGATGTTGAATTTCGGTTAATTGGCTAATCGGCTGGGGTGGTTCTTCTTCGTTACAGAGCTTTGAGCCTCGGGCGGGCTATCCCACAGTGCGTAGGTGAACTTTGTGGCTAGCACTTCCGCAGCTCTGATGCCAGGTAAACAGCTGCCCCCCTCTCCCCGTAAAGCCCCAGGAACTTAGAAACTCCCCTTCTTATGTCCTTGGCAAGTGCTCACATCTCATCAGGCCCAGTGACAGTGCCTGTTCCATGGAGTGAACGATCCCAAACTTGGAGCAATGCTGAGCTACTGGAGCTGATCAGTATTTGAAGAGGGACCCAGGATACCCTGCAATCACCCCCCCCCCCCTCACATCGCCCTCCTTCCCAGGAGAGCTGCCCTGTGAGAGAGCCGCCCTCCGCATGCTGCTTCTCTCCTCAGCAATGGAAATGCTGCCAATGTAAACACACGCCGGCACCTGTGCCCGTAAGCAGGAATCCCAACCAGTGCTTTTCTTCCACAGGTTCCGTATTGCCGGGGAAACAGACAGCGCAAAGCCTCTGCAAGTGCAGGCACAGTCTAAAATGTGTTTTGTCACCCGCTCTAGCTGCAGGATTCAGGATGATGGGCACAAACAGGCCCTCTTTGTTCCTCTAGCTTTGGATTAACTAACCCCCGCCCGTGCTCCCTGTTGTCATCACAGTGTCTCCCTAAGTCCTGGCCTGGACAGAGCACGCCTGGAAGGAACTACAGGCTAGGGTAGCTGGCCTGAAAGGAAGAGACCGACTTCCCCGGATCCGTCATTCAAACGCCTCGGTGGAGACGGGCCGTGCCTCTTGGCCTGCGAGGTTGCTCTGTGGGATTCCATGGGCTGGTTCAGGGGAGAGGGATGCAGGGGGATACCATTCTGCAAGCCAGGGGAGGCGCACGTGGGTTTAGCTGCTGCACTCCATATGGAGACTCCTTCTCGCCCCTCTTCCTGCTAACGCACCAGGCGTAAGTGCACCAAGGAAAACAGCTAAGTCAGCAGAGCCAGAGGCACCTTGCTGCCAAAGCCTCCTCAGCAGAGCATTTCTGAAAATAATAAAAAATCAGGAGAGCTTGGGGCGGGGGGGAGAAAAACCCGGAGTGAGAGCACGCAAGAGGATGTGTAATTTACTTCAGCCCCAGGCAGCAGCAGCGGTGGTGGAAGCAGCCGTGGCAGCAGCGAACGGTGCTGACAAGTTGTATGTGTTTTACATGCCCATTAACTCGCTTACTCAATAAAAAATGCATAGTTACTGCAGCTTCCACATGTCACTGCTGCACGTGGCACTTAAGCGACGGGGAGACAGGGAACGTCTCTCAAAGAAAGCCACTTACCGGCCTGTCAGGAGAAATGACAACCTTTAAAAGGGTTTTCAGGGGGAAATATAGGGAGCTGACATGCTGCAGCCGCATTGTGCTGATAGATTATATGTGCACTATCAATATTATACTACGTCTATAACATATGTATATGTGCAGGCTGCTTGTGCAGCCTGCTGTAGCTCACATCACAGTCGTTTCCACCACAATCCTCTATTTCCACAGGTTTCTTTATCAGTCAAAAATTATCTCTGGGAATGAAACTATCCGGGCATTGCTCTGGGCCCAGAGAGGGCGGGCATGGGGTTTCTTGCTGTTAGAGTCGGGGAAGAAACGGGAAGAAAGTCCTGCCAGCTATTTCTTGAGTTTGTAGAACGGGAGAGGAAAACATAAATGAGCTCCTGGCTCTGAAAGCGACCAGCCACAATTCACTCTTTGGGAGACACCGCCAGCAACAAAAGCAGCTGCGTTCCAGCACCCTGAATGCAGCTTCCAGGCAAAGTACCCACCAAGGCGGTGGCAGGCAGCCTGCGGCCCATCTCAGAGTTTTCGGTGTGGCCTGGGAGGCATTTTGTTTACCGTGGCCCATGCACATAGTTGCCAGATTCTGCTGGTTTTCGTCTGTGTTGTTTTTTTCCTACCGCCCGATATTACAAAAGTGACCTGTAAGTAAAGCACGCCAATAAGTTCTGATCTCCAGTACCCCCCGCTACAGCAGGCCCAAGGACCCTGTCCCCCACAGCTCTGCCACATCACCGGGGCACCTGAAACTGTGATTGAGCCCAGCTCCCTCCATCTCCTCCCTTTCTCCCTCATGTTTTTAGCTTGCTAGACAATAACTCAAAGGCCCTGTGGCTCTGGAAAGGCCTCTCAAACCGTGCTTCTCCTGCAGCGTGTCCTGAGCCCGCCTGACCCTCAGCCACAGAGCTTGCCAGGTTACCGCGTAAACAAGCCCTGGAGCACGGATCTGTTCCCGCCGAGCGGGGCGGTACCCAAGTCTGAGGCAAAGCTGCAGCGATGAGGCAGGAGCAAGGGCGTGCGGGGTTGTATTTTGTGCCTGGCCTAACCGCAGGGTCCATCTGCTTGGCATTGCTCACCCCCCAAAACGCCGTTTCGTTGCAGCGGCCAAAGCTACCCACCATCTTGACTGTGCTGCTCCAAGCTGACGTGCCGGCTCGCCTTTGCCTTTCACTTCAGTGGCTCCAGCAAGCGGCCGCCCCTTGGGCCTTTCAATCCGGATAATTTTTAGCCAAGGAAAGAACCTCTCTCTGCGCACACACATTTCTTGACAGAGAGAGAAGCCGGTTCTCCACTCAGCCCCTCTCCCCCCACCTCCCCCAGGCTCGGCAGCTGTTGACATTTCTTTTATTAAAGCAGTGATGCCCGCCTCTCACCTGCGACCAGGATGGTATTTTCCAAAGGGGCCCAGGACCTCTCCACTTCGTGTTTATTATGCCTGGTTAATGCTCATTAAAACCTTTGTTTGTGGAACTGACTGACAAGGAGAGTGGATTAATATTAGAACGCCCTGTCAAAAGTGGTGAGAGGGCTGGATTGATTTTATAGGAAGTTTAGTCAGAGCTCTGTGTAAAGGCCTTGAGGGGTTATGCTGCAGTGAATCAATCCCCTACATTAGCAAGTCCCTCTGGGAATAGTCAACTTCAGTGTTTATTACAACCAAGGCTGCCTTTAACAGATATGGCATTCACTTTCTTCTCTCGCCCCCTCTCTTCCTTGTTTAAATAAATAATCTGCTGCTTGAAATTGCAACCCCTGGCCTGTCGGCGGAGAGTGTGCAGCTAGTGTTGATGGCAGACTGGGCATAGCGGTGAGGGGAATAAAAGCCCGACTTGTTTGCTCAGTGCAAGACGTCACGCACGGGATGACGTGTGGGAGGTGCTGTGTCTTAGCTTAACCCTGACCCTCTACAACACTTCCGGCTCCTCCAGCCGGAGCCTTTCCATACCCCTGGCAAGACTTTTCTCTCCTGTTTTGCAGTGTCACGTTGTGCTCCGGAGCACAGCTCATCCAATGCCCGGCAGTTGGACCCTGCAGCTGCCTGGTTACTCCCGGCCGGCACTGTCCATGTACCTCGCTCTTTGACCTGCGGCACTCCGGCCCTCCCACATCTCAGATGGAGCCAAAGAAGATGTCTCGGTGCCACCAGCAGTGAATCTGGCAAACGGATTGTCCCAGGTCTGGGCAAGTATCATATATGGGCTAAATAATCAGCTGGCTTTGCTGTGCTCTTGGCTGGGACCATTGTGATGTTACCCAGCATGCTCATGTGCCAGGGACTGGCAGCGATAGGCAACTTCCCAAGTTTCCGTCCGCCCTCCCCCCTCCCGACATTTCACTGGGGTTTTGTTTGCTTGTTTTTCTTACACGTAGGGGTATTTTTAGATAGAGATTTTTTTTCCTTCCTCCAGAAATGCGCCGCATCCAGCTCCAAGAGGCGCCAAGGGCCTTTTCAATTGCTGGTTGAAAGGCAAATAGTTTCTGCTTTTCAAAGTCTCGATTCCCCCTGCCACACAGCATCCGTAGGTTAGACTGCTGCCTTCCACATGGCTGCACAGACACAGACAGTTGTGTTTATGTCAATCCTCTCGATACTCGTCGCGAGGCCTCTCTTGTGTACCAAGGTTCCCTGCCTCTGATGTTTCTGCTTAGAGATGCAATTTGCAAAAGGGCAGGTTGTCGTGTTTCCTTTTTCTCTTGGTGCAAACCAAACCTTGGGGCCTACTTTTTATTTTGGGGTCATCTAGTATCTTCTTCACCTGGATAACTCTCATCCTGGTACTCAAGGAGCAAAAATAATACGTGGAGAGAAACAGCTTTTATCTAGAGACTCAGAGAGCTTTTACCGACATTAATTAAAGGCATGCAACACCCACAGAGGGAGTTACTGATACCCCTTATGCAGCTATGTAAGCAGAGAGAGAGAGGGCCACACTCAGAAGTCATGTGGGTTAGATTCCCACTCACCCGGGGTGCCTCTCCACAGCAGGTCTTAACTCGAAATAAGCGACGCAAACTGAGCTACTTCAGTTGCGTAGCTTATTTCGAAATGGGGAGTGTCTACACAGCGCTTATGCCGAAACAGAGCGCTCTTCCTCCAACTTCCCTCTCTCTGGGTACAATGAGGGTTACAGGAGTCAGCGTAAGCAGTCCTGCAGCTGGACAGTATTTTGACATTATTTCGAAATAACGGCCTGCTGTGTAGACGTGGACTAAGTTATGTTGAAATAATGTAGCTGTGTAGATGTACCCTGAGTTAGACCCAGCCGTAAGTGAATGTCAGGGAGCCTAAGCTGAGGTAAGTTATGTGCCAGCAAAGTGTAAGTTAAAATAGGGATGTAAAGGTTTAACTGGTTAACCAGTTAACTGGTAAGCATTACCTTAGCATGCTCACCGAGGCAACTGGCCAACCAGCAGGGCAGGTGGTTAACCGGTTAACAATTTACATGGGATTTGACAGCCCTAGCTTACATGAATGTGTGCATTCTGACACCCTCCTCTTGCTGGCTTTTCTTGCTATAGTTGTCTTTTCTGATACCTCGGTGTCTGGGTTCACTTAACCCCTGCAGGACAGGTTCTGCGGGGTTGGGGAAGATCTGGTGTGAGTCCCCGTGCCCTTTACAGCTGAGCACCGGGGCTCTGGCGTGCTGGTGTTGCCTGAGCGACCGGGGAAGCGTTCACACATGGCCGCTAGAGGAGGAGAATCGGATGGGGCTCCTTTAGGCATCTTCACTAGCGATAAAGAACTCGCACTGAGAATCAGTGCGCCGGTGTGGTGGTGCTGTGTGACCCCCGGTCGAATCCAGCCTGCTTCCCCACAATTACCAGCAACGGAAAGTTAGGAAGAAAGATGTACGAGGTCGGGATGTAAATGGTTAAGTGGTAAGCCTCAACCTTAATGGATTCCCATTGGCTTCACTGCACCAGCCAACTCTTCCCAGAGAGGCATATTGCAGAGCCTACAATGAAGCCAATCCCTAGGAGCCTGCCGACCTGACTCCTGAGGAGACTTCGCCACGAGCGCTGCAGTATAAAGCTTATATCCCCCGTGTGAGGGGCGTTGGCAGTTGCTTTATTTTAACCTGTCTGCGAGGTTCTCTGCCTTCCAAACGGTCTGTATTGGATGGTATCCTACCAGCCTTTATCTCTTGCTCTCATTGTTAGAGAGCAATTCTCTTCAGACCAGGCGTTTGCCCTCTACCTAGCAACAATAGGATCCAAATCTAGGCTAAGGCCTCTGGCCATTACAATATTAACAAAAACAATAGGCTCGTCTGGGCTAATAGAAGACGAACATAATAAAGACTCATTTACTTTGTACAGCACCCGGCACGATGAGGTGCCAACCTGGTTGAAGGCTGTAGATGCCAGCACGGGATCAGAGTTAAAGAAGAATGAGAAGTCAATAGCCCTGCTTTGGAAGGCCACAATTGAGACACGTCTCTGGACTGTAACTGTGCTTGAACCAGGGTTACAGAAATAGTCTGGAGACCAGCCAAAATCAGACTCAGGACTCCTGTCAGTAGGTGATAGAGAGGACTCCTTTCTGGATGGGAAAATTGCAATAGGAGCTGTATCCATCAGCCAGGCAGCCAGTGGAAACAGAGAGGAGGCAGAATCTCGTGCTGACCTGGTTTCACCTGACCCGAAGAGAGGCCAATGTGCAAGTTAACTCTCAGAAGTCAGAGCAAGCAACCCCAATCATCAGTCCTGCCAGGAAATAGGCCAAGCCGTCTTGTGTTTCTCTCCCTCCCCCACTCCCATGCAGTGAACGCCAGTAATGTCATGGGCTGGGGTTGGGCTGGGCTCAACAGAGAGGTATTTATCCACCAGCACGCAGAGCAGGCTGGCTCTGAAAGAAGCAAGCACCGAGTTAAAAACAGAGCCGGGATCAAGCCGAGGGAAGCGGATGTGTTTGCTGCTGAAATGTCGTGGGACAGATAGAGAAAGGGGGGAGGGAGCGGGTGTGTTTGAGGATGGGGGGGAGAGTCGGGACGAACTAATGCAAATGTCACCCAAGCTTGGGAAGGTGGGGAGCAGCTCCGGGATGGCCCCAGACTTCGCTGGCTGTGCAGTGACAGGCTGCTTGCGGCTGATTTAAGAGGGGGGCTGCGGCCAGACCATGATCCACTCCTCGCGCTCCCAGGCAGTCGTTCACAGCCTCATAAAAAAAAAATTAAAGATAAAACCCGTCACGCCAGGGTGGCAGCTTGCAGAGCAGATTTAAGGGTGGGATGAAATCAGATTCAGAGACGAGGTGTCAGACACAGCGCGGGGGAGGGACAGAGGGAAATTACAGCAAGCTGAGGACAAACAGTCCCTGCGAGACTATTAGGAGAGTCTGTATTTTATGGGCAGCTCGGTGCTGCCTGAATCCTCTGTAAAGCAAGTAGAGAGCTGTTCCTCCCCCCTTCCCTCCCAGGGGCAGACGGAGCAGGGACACGGATGGGAAGGGAGCGGGATAGAGAGATGCGCCAACTTGTTCAAAAATAACCAGTCATCCTGGGCGACTTTGTTTTAGGGAGGGTGCTAACGTCCAGTAGATTGCTCTGGCTTTTAGAGGCGTTGCGCTCCAGCTGCACACAGGGCTGCATTATGACTTTCGTGGGCCCCTTCCTCCATAAAAAAAATATTAACAATTATTTTTGATATAACTTTAAATACTTCAACATTTTATATTTTTTCTGTTTTAGGCCAAATTTAATAAATTTATGTGGGCCCTAAAAGTTTCATTTTTTTCTGATGTGAGAAAAAAATTCAAACATTTTCTTTGACCCTAAAAGTTCATTTTTTTCTTCTGATTTTAAAAGAAATTAAAACATTTTTGTGGGCCCTTAAAAGTATCGTGGGCCCTAGGCACTGTGCCTATTGTGCCTAATGGATAAGTCGGCCCTGGCCGCATATGCCGAAGTCCAGGGGAACTGCAGGTGCGCTGCAAAGTTTAAAAGGGGATCCAAATACTGTTGCAAGGAGCTGTGCAAATGAAAACAGAGACCCACAACCGCCAGGCATTTTTGAAAATCTCTCGCTGCCAGCAGCTGCTTTTGAAAGCCTGGCCCCAAATGCCTCTTTCAATGTCTCGCTCTCTCCTTTCGTCCTCATGCATGTCATATTTGCATGCTGGCTACGACTCCAAGGATGTTAATTGGCCAGCTGAGGAAGTTCCAGCTACAGATGAAAGGCTATAAATAAATATTTTGATATTAAACATCTTTATTAGAAAACATCAATGTTTTATTGGCACGGCTGCTGCCTTCTGGACAGGGTTTTTTTTTTTTTTTTTCCTTTTGGCTCAGCTGTGCGCCTCCCCTCTCCCTCAATCAAGTCAAAAGTCACTTAAAGCTACACAGAAGGGATTTTTCTGCCACTTTCTTTCATTCATTTACTACATAAAAAGCAGAACCATAGATCCTTAGGACAGAAAAGGACCTCAATGCATCATTGAATCCAGTCTCAACACCCTGGGCTGTGGCAGAATTAAGTATTGTCCAGACCCTTCCTGACAGACATTTGTCAAACCTGTTCTATAAACCTTCAGGGATGGAGATTCCACAACCTCCTTAGGGGTATAGTGATACTAACCACCCTAATTCGAACGAGGGAGGCTAATGTAGTCATTCGAACTTTCAAATGAAGCTTGGGATTAAAATATCCCGGGCGTTATTTGAATGTTCCCAAGCGTCGCCATTTTTAAATGCCCGGTAGTTCGAACTCCCTGCCCGTGGCTACACGCGGCCCGGGCTCATTGCAGGAGGAGTAACCATAGTTCGAATTAGGAGCTTTAATTCAAACTACCTAGCCCGTGCTGCATGTAGTCACGGGCAGGGACTTCGAACTGCCGGGCATTTAAAAAAGGCGGCGCCCGGGAACATGCAAATAAAGCCCAGGATATTTTAATCCCAAGCTTCATTTGCAAGTTCGAATGACTACATTAGCCTCCCTAGTTCAAACCAAGGTGGTAGTGTAGACATACCCTAGGAGACTTGCAGCTGTGTTTAGCTGACCTGATAGGAAGTTTTTCCTAATGTCTACTCTAAAACGCCCTTCCAGGTGGCTGAGGGTTCAACACTGCCCACCCAATGTGGAGTCACCCAACACCAGCTTCCCAAGGGACAGAGCTGACATCCTTTGGAACACAGGAATGATAAGGGGGTCTATGAAGATAATCAGGTTGGGGAGTAGTGGTGGAGCAGCTAAGGTACCTGCTGCTGGAACCAGA